CCGTCTCAAAAAGTGAGAGTGCTTTCTTGGAAATGTCTGATTCTGAAATAGAACTGCTTATACATGCACACAATCACATGCACAACACACACACACACACACACACACACACACAAACACCAGGATTCCAAGGCCAGAACAAGTAGTTTCTTGCAGGATCCACTTAGACCAAAAAAGTAAACAACAGGACTTGAAAAACATTATATAAGTAATATAAATTTACTCTATACTCTTTAAAATTGCATTTAGGGAAATGTAAACAAATAAATACCAAACTGGATTTACTTAGTTTAATTTTAAATGACAATTTTGAAAAAAACCAGTCAAGGTTTACAATGATCTAATGAACATTGTGGACTAATACATACATACATAGATAGATGATAGATAGATAGATAGATAGATAGATAGATAGATAGATAGATAGATAGATAGATAGATAGATAGATAGATAGATAGACAGACAGACAGACAGACAGACAGACAGACAGACAGATATAGAATAGAGCTGGAAGGGCTCTTGAAGGTCTTCTAGTCCAACCTCCTGCTTAAGCAGGAGACCCTATAACATTTCAGACAAGTGGTTGTCCAGTCTCTTCTTAAATGCCTCCTGTAGTGAAGCACCCACAATGTCTGAAGGCAAGCTGTTCCAATGGATAATTGCTTGAAGTTGAGTAACTCAGCTTTGACTTCAGATGAAATGAATTTAATGGATGGTTTTGACTAAGTCACTATCTCTTCTCAGTGAAGCAGTGTTACTAATAACATCCCATATTAATGTTAAAATTAAGGAGATAGATATTCTAACACATCCCATTGATGATGGGCACTGAAATGAAGGCAAAGAAATTGTTTTATCCAATGCCTTCTTAGGGTGAAAAAAGAAAAACAGTTTGTAGAGAGGGGTCTTCCTTCTAATTTCTTGCTTATTTCTCTGTGTTGAAACCAACTTTCAGGATGGAATATGTCTTATTTTAAGAATTAGAAGGTTGGGTTTTAGGCCTAGGAGGATTTATGCAACTTCCCTGAATCTTAAAGTACTGACAAGTGTTTAATTTTGCCAGATGTAGTAATAAACCATTTCACAATTTTCTAATTGTATAGTGAAGATACAGTTATCAGAAAGATTCATAATGAATAAAAAGACTTATGGTATAGCAATAGCACTTAGACTTATATACTGCTTCATGGTGCTTTACATCATTCTCTAAGCAGTTTACAATGTCAGCATATTGCCTCCAACAATCTGGATTCTCATTTTATCGATCTTGGAAGGATGGAAGGCTGAGTCAACCTTAAGCCAGTCATGATTGAACTGTTGGCAGTTGGCAGAATTAGCCTGCAATGCTGCATTCTAACCACTGTGCCACCCTGATATGGTGCATAGTAAGACAGAATTTGAAGTACAGTTGTGTACCAATGATAAATACGTAATTGCTAAAGTGTATACACTTTTGCTGAAATGTGAAACAGAAGAAAAATAGGTTAAAGAATGTATGATAAAATGGGCTAAGATCTTTGGTTATAACTTACACATGGATCGACGGGAAAATACACGGTTAAAAGGGTTGAGCTTTAAATAATATTATCATCTTAGATAATTTTTATAAAATGATGTATTGTCAGTACATGACACCAGAGAAATTATCTAGAATATATAAAGACGTTTCAGAGTATGTTGGAAATGTAAACCACATGAAGGGACATTTTATCATGCTTGGTGGACATGTAAAAAAGCTTTAAAAATTAATTCAAATACATAGATTAATGCAGAGGATTTAAAATGATTTAAAATTCAATTAGAGCCAGAACTTTTGTTTTTAAGATTGATGGATAAATAGTTAGAAAATAGCCATAGAAGACTTCCGGTTTGAAGGGCTTCGGCAACAGACAGAAATCCGCGATCGTGCGCGGTTTCTGTCTGGGCTCACCGCTGGAACGCCCTGAGCCAGCTGGTTTCGGAGCTAAGCCACCCAGTAGAGGTGGTGAAGAGGGGGGAGACCGCCAGCAGGGTTGAGGAGAGCTGCATCTCTTCTCCTCAGCTGGCCATTACTCCCTTTCCCGAAGGCGGTTGCAGTGGTGGTCAGAAATGGCCACCACAAAGGAGAATTCGACCTGAAAAGAACGTGCAGGAGGAAGATAAGAAGAGAAAGTTTTGGCTGACTGGGTTAAATTGTAAAAGCAACAACCAAGGTACCCTGGAATTTAAACTTACAAAAAATAACATCGCTCCCAAAGAAGAGTCGGAAGCAGCGAAGGAAAGTGAAAAGGGAAAGGTTTGGCTTTTTTTTTTTCCTTCTCTCTCCTTCCCTATACTGACAACTAAGAGACTTAAATAAGAAATTGGAAAAATCTGCTTTGACATCAATAGGCAATTAAGATGAAAATAAAACAAAATGCCAAAGGGATAATAAAGATTTCTGGACATTAAAAACTTTCTTTTTCATAAGCAGGAAGGGAGAGAAAAAGAATAAGGGCAGGATCTGGAAGAGGGAGGAGACTGCCTGGAATTAAAAAGAATTTAAAGTAAAACTTCAACAAGACTTCTAAAAGATACATTTTAACTGAAACTTTGCAACTAAATAGTAACCCCAGGAAGAGAAAGTGAAAAAAAAAGAGCAAAAAAGAAACAGCTTGCGTGTATTTGGATTATTTGGTGATTTTTGGATTTTTGGTTATTATATTTGAATGACTAAAATCAATTGGGTGGTTGTTTAAAAATTTATACAATGGCACCACTTCTGGATGAATTGAAAATGGAACTTAAAAACTACAAAGAAGATGCACAAGAAGGGAAGGGTTCCTTTGGCTTCGTTTTTCAATTTCTAGAAATGGAGATTTGGAACTATGAGAAACAACAAGAAAAGACTGCAAAACAAGAAGACTGGGACAAAGAAGAAGCCATCTTTAATGAACAAGTAACTCTATGTGGGGAAGAAAAAGGAAAGGGGGGAAAGAGGATGGAGAATTTAAGACTTAAAAAAACAACCAAAGAAAAGAAAAATAATTCGAAAAATAAGTATATTACTGGAAAGCAATAGAAAAGGGAAATACAGAAGAGAGTAATAGAGGTAGAGAGACAAGGGGGTAAAAAGGGGAGAGAGAAGAAGAGAGGGAAGAAGGAAAGGAAAAGAAGTTACAAAGGACCGGAGCAAGATATAGAGAAACAGGACCTATTTAGAGATAATGGGTGAAAATCTAACTGAAAAAGGGATTCTGTAAAGGTACATAAGATTGTATTGTTATATTAGTAATAGAAATAACTTTAGAAAATTGGAAACAATGTATGATTAAAATGAGGGATAAAATAGTTAGTGTAATTTAGTGAAATGTTTGTGAATAAAATAAGTGAAATAAAATAAATGAGAAAATTGAATTAGGAAGGAACGGGAACATTTTAATTAGTCAATGTTTTATAAAATATAAGTGAAGGGGGGGGGAATTAACTATGGAAAGTTTATAATTGTTCCCATAGAAGTATGATATTTAATTGAAAAGTAATGTTAAAGATGTTAAGACTTTAATGAATATTAATATTAATGATAGAATTGAATTGGAATGGAATGTTGTTTTAATTATATACATTTATAATTTTTTTCTTTTTTTTAAGAATACAGTGTGTATTTTAAGAATGTACCAAGCAGAATCTGAATGGAAGTTATGTATTATATTGAATGTTACAACTTTAGGGAAAAGATATAAAGGCGTCATACTCCAATCAGTAACTACAGGAGAAATTTTGTTTAATGAGAAAAGATAATAGATAATTGAAACAGGACAGACAAAAAATATAAATACAATGATTTGAATTGAGATGAGATAATTAAAATAAAATTGAGAAAATTAAAAGAGGGGAGAAGCTATGCGGAAAATGTAAAATAGTAATAAGATATGGAATAGAATATAAAAATGAGCATGAACCTGAATTTGTGTCTGAAGAAATGAAGAAATGTAACCCAGGATTATGCTGCTTTCAAAAAAGATGTTTTATTTGTATTTTTTTTCTCTTTGTGAAAACTCAAATAACATTTACAAAAAAAGAAAAGAAAATAGCCATAGAAGATTATTTCAATATCAGATTATTGCAGCAAGATTATTATATGGAAAGATTTGGCATTATCCACTCTGGATGAATGGTTGGTGAAATTGATAGAATTTGCTGTGATGAACAAATTGACTTTTTGATTAGAGAAAGTTATCACTGACATTCATCCCCTTATGAACTTTTTACATGAGAAGGAAAATGACTTTGTGATTTATGGATTTAAGGGTTTGAAAGAATAGATTATAGAAAGAAGGGAATTGTAATGACATTAGAGAGTAGTTTTATCATGGTAGAATTGTATGTACAGATGGCAAGAGGAGTATCAGAAGCCATTTTTATACATTTCTCTTCTTAAAATTTTCTTTATCTTCTTTTCTTTCTTTTTTGCCAAACACACACACACACACACACACAGAGAGAGAGAGAGAGAGAGAGAGAGAGAGAGAGAGAGATGTTTGTATATGTGTTTCTTATAATCTATGTAAAATATCTTTGTGTCCCTGTGATATCATATTGAATTTGTTCCTAGCCTAAGGCAGGAGACTGGCTTAATTTAACCCTGGTAATAATTTTATCTCTTTTCCTAACACCATCCAAGGGCAGCTTCAAGATATATAAAATCTTCATATTTATCACCTGTTACGTTGGAAGAGAGCCACAAGACTGCATTGACTTGAGTTAGAGACAAAAGAGTTAGGATAAACAGTGGAGACCATAACATTTATGTCTGGTATAGTTTTCTGCTGATTTAAGGAAGGAAGTGAGCTCTTCAATTCAGCAGTGAGAAAAGGCCATACATATATAAAATTCTTATTTCAAAGGCTTAGAATAGAATCTCCCATTCAGGATGTATATATATACACACAGCGAGACACATATACTTATATATGCATCCTAGAATATATATATAAAACCCGAGAAAACCCTAATAACCAAAGATCCATATATATATATATATATAATTTGTTTTCATAGATTTTCATGGGTACAAGTATGTAGGTCTAGGTCCAGCATACATTTCTCTGTTATTAACACATAAATTAAACAAGATAAGGCTGCCTATCCATCCAAACCAATAATACCAATCAAACCAAGATCTGTGGTGGCACAGTGGTTAGAATGCAGTACTGCAGGCTACTTTTGATTGCCAGCTGCCAGCAGTTCAGCAGTTCGATTCTCACCGCCTCAAGATTGACTCAGCTTTCATTAATTTTTTATTGGTTTTTAAAACGAACATAGACAAACAAAACATAAAAACATCAAGCCATCTTCCCTATATATACATACAGTGTGCCACTTGGTGTACAAATTGTTTTGTGCTTCCATTTCATAGTCTTCAATTACCATTACATTGTATATATTCTCATATTTTCAATCAAGTATTAAATGCATTAATATCATTGTTAATCATTTGACTATTATTCATTCATGTTTTATGAAATAATAATATTTAACTTAAATTGTTTCATGACAGTTCATATTATCATCTCAAATCTATCCTACAATCATTTTGTAGATATAATAAGAAAAGAATACCTCTTTATATATTTATTATGTTCTAAGATATTATATATTTCATTACCATGTTTTATTGTCTAACCATTGATAGAATAGATCCCAAATTTTATAAAATTGTTTATCATCTTGTTCTCTGATTTCAAATGTCAATCTACTCATTTCAGCACATTCCAATATTTTCCTAATGATTTCCTCCGGTGATGGTATTTAATTAAATTAAAAAGTAAATTAAAAATTAAAAAAATTAAAAATTAAAAAAAAAGATTGACTCAGCTTTCCATCCTTCCAAAGTTAAGAAAATGAAGAACCAGATTGTTGGGGGCAATATGCTGACTCTGTGTTATTGCTATTGCTATATTTTAAAAAGAAATTATTTTTGGAAATATAATATCAAATACTTCTCTAGAAAAAACCCCAACCAACTAAGTGAGAGACTAGAAGATTAATCAGACACCAATCTACAAGAATCTTTTATACCATTGTTAAGCACATTCCATTCCCAGGCAATTCTCCTGGAATGATTTTCCCCTCAGAAGCCTTTTTTTTTTTCCTTCTTCCTGTTTTCTGACAGTACCTTTGGTGATCACAATTTCCATGTACTAAAAATGAAAATAGTTTTTCTATTATATAATTTCCCCCGATATGAATTGTTTCAAAGTCTAGCTGCCGAGAAGTGTAAAGGGATAGAAATTGCAGGGCGGGGGGTGGGTGGGTGGGTGGGGGTGGGGGAGGTTGGATTACGAGGCAGTCTAAAACTTTTATTTCAAATACTCAGGATCAAAAATATGATCCTGTATCCAAGTTGGTATCAGTGCAAAGGTTCTTTTCCCCCCCTCTCTTGAAGTTTCCAAGCTAGGATTTTTGTAGATGAAGCTGGGCAGGATGTACAACATATCAGGGATACTATAGTCAGAACTATGATACGATTCATTGATTGGACATGGATATTGCTAACTTTAAATGAATAACTCATGATGAGGCTTTTGACCTTTGTAGACTTGTGAACTCTCTGCAACTTTCTCTGTGTGATATCCTGTATTGGAGCCTTCAGCAAAGAGAGTTTTTATTGGACCCTAATTTTAATGTATTTTCAGGCATAGAATAAGCCTTAATTCTTGCCCTCTGAAAAATGTTTATCCTGGATTTCTGCGGCTGATTTTAGCTTCTATACTCACAATTTTGCTAATGCCTCATTGTGTCTTTACATATTTTAACTTTTTGCAGAGTGTCCTGACAGCTGTAAAAAAAATAAATCATATATAAATAAATAAATAAATAAAAGTTACCTAACTGGTTCTGGCAACAATCATGATTCTGTCATATACTGATTGAATCTGATTGTTACACAGGGTTTATGCAACTTGGCAGTTTTTACCAAGAGGAATCTCCATTAGGAAAAGCTTCCTTGGTTTTCCATCATAAGAGCACATCCCAGGAACCGGATCTGCTATTTGAATGCCTTCTGCTCAGTTATGGGAATCATGGTATCTTCGGCTATTTGTGATGCCACCACATAATTCAAGTGGGAAGGAAGTTGTGTCTAGAATCATATTAAAAAAGAGAAGTTATCAGAAAAAAAGGACCATATAATAGCAAGTTAATAGATCACCTTTCCCGAGAAGATTTTTAGCTGTTACTTGTAATAAATAAAAATTTGTCTTTGAGAAATTTTTTTTCATGTCTGCCCATAGTTTTCCACAGAATCAGGCAATGGGTAGGATAAGATCTATACTTTTTTTCTATTTTAAATAGGTAAGTATAAATAATACCAAAACTGAGAAGAATGCAAGGTGCATTTCATATTACCTAGGCAGCAGGTGAATTCTTGTGGAATACAATCCAAAAGACATGTTTTCCAGAGGAAATGAGCTAAGACAAATCAGACTAGTTTGAAGACAAGATTAGCAGGGATAATTTTTTTCCCTGGTGATCACAAAGGTGCTGAGGGGAAATAACTTTAATTCTCTTTCTGTATCCCAGGGAACAAGAAAACATTTTACATCCACTAGAATGGCCAGGAATTTAGAAAGGCCTTGTGGCATAATGAAAAGTGAGAGAAGCTAAAAGGACAGGGCTGGCAATTGTGCTGCTAATAAATGAAGTTTCACAAGTGAGGCCCAAGCTCAGGGGAAGGAAACTAAGGCAGGACTTGAGAAGGATATTTTAGCAGTTGTTCATTCCCATTTTGACATTATAAATGGAAGCCACAGTTTAAATGACCTTGGGATATTCTTTTTTTTTTTTAAGCATTTGTATTAATCGGATCAGACATGCAAGAATTATTTGTAATCACAGTGCAGTCTTCTCTTGTGGTTAGCATAATGTACCTGGATAGAGAAGAGAACTAAAAAGGAAATGGTAGCAGAAGCAGTTGCTTTCACAACAGCTGGAAACAACAGGCAGCTGATCTAATGGAACAATAGGCAGTTTTCATTGTTTATATAAAGCAGTTGTTTCTCAACTGAATTCTCTCCAGAAGTGTGGGAATAATCGTCCATATATCTGAAGGACCTTGGCTTGGGGAAAAAAAATGGTATAGGATCAATGGAAAAAGAATAAGGCAAATGTACTATAAAAATATTAATAATGTGAAGTTGTATAAGAATACCCTGCCCATGTTCTCATACGACTTATGTTATTGACACCTTTATGGCACATTTACCTTATACCTCTTTGCCCATGAACCATTACCATCATTTTTTTCAGTGAAAACTATGAAATTCCCATACTTAAGTGGTTCTTTGCTTTGTTCTACCAACTTGGTTGACTGGTTCCTTTTTTCTCTCGGAGGCACCCAGAGATCAGAGGCTTCCATCGAGATGATGAAAGCAACATTGCATTGTTGTGACACAACCTCTGTCCTATTCATACATTTGTGCCACATCAAGGTGCTTGTATAAAAGGGACAAGCTTGTGTCACAATAGCAGAATGCTACTTTTGTCATTTGCCTACCCCCCCCCCCACCAACCCTCCAGATGCCTCTGCCTCCTCTTTTCCTGCTAGACAAAAATTTTAGTCAATTGGAAAAAACTTTTGAGGCAATTAAAAGTGGAAAATTATAGGGTTATTTTAATATAGAATGTAACATAACATAAAAAGTAATAAAACATGGAATCAGTCACAATATCATAGTCAAATAACAACAATGGCAGAAGAAAACAAACATTGAAAAAACTGAAATAGTTTTAAATAACTAAGAAGATGCATCATCAAAAAGTAGGGTGTTTTTTTTCTTTTTAATTGTTATAGAAGTCTAATTTTCACCTGCTTTATCCTTGCCTAGACACAGTTTCGTAATTCTGGGAGTTTAATTGTAGTTTCTAGATTGCCATAATTTGTTCATCCTTAGTACAGGCAAAGAAAATGTCATTTGCACTTGTAATGAACCATAGCATCCCCAAAATATGGAAGCGTCTCAGAAAATGGTTGCTGGGAACCCTGGAAAACCCTGGAAAAAAATGAAGTAAAAAAGTATATAGTGGTCCTCTATAGTAATCAGGGAATGTCTAAGAAAATCTAACTTATTCTCAGTAATATGATATAGATACCTACCTCCGTTTGGTTAATTCTCTTTGATTTGGAGAAATCCACAAATTCAGTACTGGCATTACTTTTGATTAGCTGCAACAAATTTTACAAGATTTGACCAACAGGTATGAGAAAATAAGACTGAAGCATGAACTTGAATTTCGCTCAATGTTTTCTCTTACCATAATAAAGGTTGAAGTTGAGATCACATCCCTTGAATCTCTGGATATGTTGTATTGTTCTTCCTAAGCCAAAAAAAAAAAAATAGTTCTTTGTCTGCCAGGTCAACGAGGTTTGCTTAGATAAGATGTTAAATGTATTTTTGATTGAAATATACAAACTGAGTATCTGGATATGTGGCAAGTGGACATGGATCAAAGGAAGCAGCTTTACAACTATAAAGAGGGAATATACTTTCATTGACTGAAATATATTCTTTCTTTGAAACTAGAACTATCTTTCATAGGAAGGATTTGTCACAGGTCTGCTTGAAGTAAAGAAGAATTAAATATCCTTTTTGTATTTGAACTGAACCAATGCGATATTTAAAAATCCTGTACAATATAACACTCTGTGCTAAGTACACCAGAACTTTCATTATCCCTGTATGTCATAGATCAACCATACTGAATTACCTCACAAATTTAAAAACAAATAAGTAAATAAATAAGCAGATATATAAATATTTTAAATAGCTAAAATTGGTCAAGAAAGCTACACTTCTGATATTAGATCTGCAACTTGTTATTGTTTTTCATCTTTAAACATTAAAAAGAAAAGCCAGTCTGTTACATTAATTACAATTGGTACAAAAGGCAACAGTCTGTATGCTAAATAATGCCAGACATCGGGATGTACAGTATTACAGCTGTGTGCAGGCCCTGTATTAACTGCCCATAAATTCCAGGTATTATTTAAAGTGGTGGCTTTAACTTATATAACTTATAAAGCCATATATGGTTTAGTGCCAAGGATCTCCTGGACTACTTACTTTAACCAATATGTGTGTGTGTGTGTGTGTGTGTGTGTGTGTGTGTGTGTGTGTGTGTGTCTGTCTGTCTGTCTGTCTGTCTGTCTATGTATGTAATTTATTAACTATGCAACTTCAACAGACTTCAATATGATTCATCCAGTACAAACAACTTGGAAAACTTTGTTGGTCATTCCCCAGTAATCATCAAATTGAGTAGTAGATGAAATTGGAGGCTAGTAGGAGATGCTTCTCTATTCTGACCCCTGTAGAAGAGTCTTCCATGGAAGACCAAGCTTAACTTGACTCTATTGATCTCCTAGAAGCTGTTCAAAATAGGAATTAGTATATTGTTTTAAATCAATGATAAATGTTCTTTTATATTTCAGCTTATATTTTCTGTCATATTATCATAGCTTGGACATTTCATTTTTGATAAATGGCTGAGAGTCATAAAATTGTGGCAGTGTAAAGTTCTATTTACAGACCCCTCACATCCCGGACATAAACTGTTTCAACTCCTTCCCTCAAAACGACACTATAGAGCACTGCACACCAGAACAACTAGACACAAGAACAGTTTTTTCCCGAAAGCCATCACTCTGCTAAACAAATAATTCCCTGAACACTGTTCAACTATTTGCAAAGTGTACACTACTATTACTGTTAATCTTCTCACCACTCCTTATCACCCATCCCCTCCCACTTGACTGTTTCCTAGTATGATTTGATTGTTGATTGTACCCTATGACTATCATTAAGTGTTGTACATTATGATTCTTGATTCTTAATGAATGTACCTTTTCTTTATGTATACTGAGAGTATTTACACCAAGACAAATTCCTTGTGTGTCCAATCTCACTTGGCCAATAAAGTATTCTATTCTTCTATTCTAATAAATATGTATGTGTATGTATATTTATGTTTGTGTTAATGTATTAAGCTTCATACAAAAAAGGTTACTCTCATTCAAAATATTTCCACATTTCTATTTCCGTGGCCATGCAACATGTTAAGCTCCTGAATTACTCATTAGAAGTAAAACTTAGCACAGGACATACTTTCAATCTATGCATATTCAAGTTTGCCAGTTAGAAATATAAATCATCCTAGATTACCCTATATCCTGCTTGGATTTAAGATTTGAGATAGAGTTATACATGCTTTCTTAAATGGGCCAATCAATGAGATTCTATTCTGTGTAATTATATCTCTGTTCATAGTTCATAGTGAAACTCACACATTTCTCTTTCTTCTTATTTTCTCATCAAACATTTCCCAGACATCTGATTTTCTTACCTTTAACCCTGAGTAGAGTTAGAATTGTGGCACATGCAATTCACTGCAATTTATATAGTGAACTTAAATGGATGGTATATTTGTCTTCAATTTTCCCTGGCATGTTATCACTGCAACAATTGTTGACAAGATTTTGTCAGCTCTGAAAACCCTTGCTTCTGTGAATGGAGTTTGCCTCTAACAGGAGCTGCTAATTGTTTAGTCTGAGGCTCTTCTTAGACATTTGCTCTGTTCTATTAAGGGCAGGTTTCTGTAAAAATAAATGAAGTTTGTAGCCCTTTTCTTTGTGGGATAGCCTTTCCAATCCCTATACAAATTCAGGTTCTGTTGTCCTGTTAAGCTAGCCATGCAGAAAACTGTTTCCAGCCAAAGAATAGGAGTAGCCAACGTATGAACTCTATACCTCAATGAGGTGTTAACATCAAAGCTTCCTTGGTCCATTTAAATGCTAACATTATTAGGCAAGGAAGTCTAAGAAACAAGCACTCAGTGGGAGTCAAAGAACATGTTGTAAAAAGAGTTTTCTTTATGCTCATCACACTCCAATTCACTTAGGATGAGTTCTTGTTCTTTGCCTTCCAGTTTCCTAATTAAGTCTTCTTTCGCTTTCTACCGTGTTTAGGCTGGAGGGTGTCTTTTTCCATATTCCATTAGCTTTTTCTTTTCCCGTCCTTTCTCCACCAACTTTTATCTGCTATTAAGCATAGTGATGGAGCTGAGCTCCAACCCAATTGATGCAACCAGTACCTTTTCTACTATGAATGGCTAAAGAAGGCCATTCTGATATTTAAAGGCATTGAACCACTCCTCATGCTTACCAAGGAGGTATGCTGCCACTTTCAACTCCCTCCATCATTATTCAGACAAGCATTCACACAGGGTTTAACTAACGCCATAATGTTTTATGAGTTTTGAAGACCACAAAACGTACAATGCAGAGTGATTGTGGTTAGCATACATCCAAATTTAAACATCTGTTTAAATGTGTAAAACAGAGATTTTAGTAATATAAATAGAATTAGCACTATTTCCAAAAACAATTTATATAATATGCACATGCCTAATTCCATTTATGGTACCAATGCCATTCCAGTCACTCCTATCCATATGCTAGCCGTCATTCTCACAGAATTCAAAACATTTAGTAAAACAGACCTTACCTTTTACCTTTCTTAAGCTACATGCAACAATCCATTTTTCAATATTTCTTCTCAGTATATCTATTCCAAGCATGAAGCTAAAGTTCTTGAAGTCTCATTTTTTTAAACAACAACAACAACAACATTACATTGTCTATTCTTCAGTTTTGGGGCAGTACTATATGAGGGTCAGTGGTGGGATTCAAAATTTTTTAGTACCGTGGCTTGGTGGGCGTGGCACGGCTCGGTGGGCACGGCTCAGTGGGCATGGTAGGGGAAGAATACTGTAAAATCTCCATTCCCTCCCCATTCCTGGGGGAAGATTACTGCAAAATCCCCATTCCCTCCCACCCCACTAACCTGCTTTCCAGCTCCGTTCTCCTGTGCAGGGCAACAAAAAAAGATGATCAGCTAGGACTCGGGAGGCAGAGAATAGATGGGGGCGGGGCCAGTCAGAGATGGCATTTACTGGTTCTCCAAACTACTCAAAATTTCCACTACTGGTTCTCCAGAACTGTTTAGAACTGGCTGAATACTACCTCTGATGAGGGTCCTGCAAAATTTTATGTTAACTGTTGAAGTCCAGATAGCAAAGCATGGAAACACTTCTCCAAAGCTGTACCCCTATCCTTTTTGTACTTCATTTGTTGAAGATCTCTATCTTTTTAGACAACAACATTACTTCCTGATTGTTTGTATGTGGATCAGTATGACCAAAAAGAAATGCAAAATCTAACCAAGACCCGAAAGGAAGCCTGAACTAAGGAAAACCATAGAATTCACCCTAACTATTGGATGTCATATCTGTGTTATATTTCTGAAGGAAGAAAGTCCAACCACAGGTAACCTACATTCCTTAGACATACACACCCAGCAATATATATTTGTATTTTCCACACATATCTCCTAACCAAAGCAACCAGTTTTTACTTGTTTAATTAACACTGAAGAGGAACTGTCAGTCCTTTCAGACATGCCAAAGCCTAGGGTGGGTTCTCTCTGATTCATAAGGTTCATGGTTCAAAAAAGCCAGAGAGGGTTCAATGTCAGGAATGTCATGCAAAGGCGGGGTTGGTAGGATTGGAGAGAAGAGAGGGACAGGGAGGTGAAGGGAAGAGAGGAAGAGGAAGATGATGATCCAGAAATCCAAGGAAAATCTGGTATCTTCACGTTTGTTCAGACAAATATTCTTTTTTTTATAAAACAATTGAATTCCCCTTTTCTCCTTCTGCTCCTAAAGTAGCATAGCTTCCCCCCAGCCCTGTCCATCTTTATTGTGAAGTGAGACACATCTACTTGAGTCAGTTGTCACAGTCTCACAACAGTTTCCCTAGGTCGGCAGTCCAACTGGTATTTTGTAGGGCTTAACAGATTTGGGTCTATGATGTGGCCACTGACAGTTGATCATGGGTGTCATTAAAGCTAAGGGTGCCAGATTTTCAAAATCCCAATCTGCTGTGGTTGTTATAGATTTAATACAAATACAACTACATGATCCATTAGACAAGTCATCTGTTTGGAAAAGGTAATGCCTAATGTGAGAGCTATATGTGTGCACTGCAGTATATACTAAGCAACGCTTAGCAGTAATGAACTTTTTAACAATGAACAAACACAAGTAAAGGACTTTGCAGTCTCTATTCAGGAATAGTCATCAAGAGTTCATTTACCTACTTGTCACCCA